GGTTATGGGAATTTGCCTATCACGTGTTATTTTTTGAATTGATGGATTATGTTTTCAGAATGAATATCTTAATGTATGTTACGGAGTATTGATTTAAGTGACACGAATTTCTCATTAAAATGCTTTTACAAGTGTTTCCTTAATTTGGGGGATATTCATCACAGTCACGGTCACGGCCACGGTCCTCCCGTTGTTCATCGATTTGCTCGAGCGGGGCCCAGTAACATCTCCATTGGAGACTTTGTTGTTACTGTGTTTGGCATATCGAATACATCACGTGTAGCTTGCCAGGCTCTGCCGTGTGGGCGAGATACTCTCGGTAGCTTACCGGGAACTCCGGGGGATATTCATAGAATAATAAAAATCATCTTATATTTACTTGGTTTCAGTAAAGGATTGTGATCCTTGGTTTTACTAGAAGACTATTAAAGTATTAAACAGATTAGAGAACAGATTTTTTTCTCTGAATAAAAATATTTCAGATCCAGTGGCCAGAGAGAATAAAACATTGGAAGGGCTCTTGCCTGGAAGCACCCTGCACAGTTTTGATCCTTGTCACCACATCTAGTCCCCCAACACATCAGGAGCCATCTGTTAGTGAAAAGAAAGAAAAAATGAAGGAAAGAAAGAAAGAAAGAAAGAAAGAAGGAAAGAAAGAAAGAAAGAGGGAAAGAAAGAACGAAAAAGAAAGAGAGCAAGAAAGAAAGTTAAGAGAAAGTCAATGAAAAAGAATATGTTCATCAGTGTCAGGTGATAGGAAATTAAATACCTTCTCATTAGGTCTGAGGTTGTTTACTAAACACCAACACCCTGGACATTCCCGATCTTTTGGAGTTAAACCCCCCTGTCACCCAGACCCACACAGGCTCCTTTGGCCCACATGAATCTCTGCTGCCCCCTTGTGGTCATTCAGTGCAGTGGGAGCCGTTGGGAAGTCCTAGGAGGAAGTCAGAACAGACTGAGAAAACAGGGCTCAGGGGCTGTGTCACTGTCTATTGGGAGCATCCAGGGAGGGGGAAGAGTGAGCATTTTCTCTGTGGATCTTGGACCTCATAGGGTTAATTCTGAGGGAAACTGAAATATGAATAATACAATTTCAATTGAATTGGTAGATTGATGAGTTGACCACCTGCCCAGGCCTCAGGATAAGGATTATTTCTATGATGGTCAGGCCACTGAATTTGGACAGTTATCATATTTGGAACTGAAGCTTTCTAATTTGCATTTACATAATAGGCATGATGGTATTCTTAAATAATAGACGAATAGTCCTGAAAATGCAACTGTAGCCCTTCTGAGAATGAAATAAATTCCTTTATAAAATGCAGTGAGATATATAGTCAATGTCTTTCATGATTGAGTTTCAGTCATACAATGTTCCAACACCCATCTTTCCTCAGTGCACATTTCCCACCACCAATGTGCCCAGTTTTCCTCCTGCACGCCACCTCCTCTTTGCCTCAAAGCCTGCTCTATGTCAGACACATTCTCTCTCCCTCTTTCTCTCACTTACAGTTTTCTTTTAGCCACTGTGATTTTCAATACTCTTAGTAATTGTGCATATCACTTTATCTCTTTTTAGCACTCAGTTTTGGTTCAGAGTGATCATGTCCAGCTATCATTTTCAAAACGGTCCCTTTTCTATCCTACCTTCACTCCCCTCCCTTTTTGTGGCATGCTTCCTCCCATGAGCCATTCCTCCTGGCCCTTGTTTCTATGTCTTTGGGTATTATTCACATGGAATGATGTTGTTTTTGGCTTTTTATATGCCAAAATGAGTGTGATCATTGTATGTTTGTCCCTTTCCCATTGCCTCACTATCTCAGTAAGAGTCTATCCATGTCTAGCCATGTAGAATCAAATTTAATGACTTCATTTTTCCTAACAGTCATGTAATGTTCCACTGTGTAGATGCATCCTAGTTTCTTTTTAATTTTTTTATTTTTAAGTTTTATTTCCACAAGATTGAAGAAAACCAACTATAAAAATATTTTAATGAGAAATTCTTATAATTTAAGTCAATATTTCATACCATATATCAAATTATTTATACTGAAAACATACTGTGTTAATGCCCTAAACCACCACATAAAGTAGACAAAATTTCTACAACCTACTGAGAAACAAAAATTGTCAGGAATATGCCAAAAAGCAGCAGGTAGGGACTGCAGGACCAGCCTTCCCCTTCCCCGTGTCCCTTGAGCTTGGAACCTTTTCTGCAGTCATAGACCCCATCAGTACCCCTTAGCCTGACTGATTTGCATAGCCAGCAGCTCTCTCCCTGAGGGGATAAGAGAGGACCAGGAGGAGTTCAGCCTCAGGTGCCAAGATCCCATCCCCTGACCGTGGCCTGGACCCCTCTCCTTCTGGGCCTCCTGGCTCACTGCACAGGTGCTGTGTCCAGGCTCACAGCAGCCCCAAGCCCAGTGTTCTGGGGCCTTTATGGTCTAGTTGAGCTTTGCAACATGTATCTCACTGAGAGTCCATTTTAAAATGTTTTTAAAGTTCTTTCTGTTGTTGACTTCTAATTTCATTTCAATATGCTAAAGAAAATATTTTTGCATTACGATTTTTTCAATGTTCCCATCCTTTTTTTTTTTAATTTCTTAAAGGTTGAATATGTTACAGTGGAGATCATCCCACGAATATCCAAGGAGGTGAGCTTTGTGCTTTTAAGTTGTTTATATGTATTTACTCTTTTGTTTAACAATGATGTACAAGCCCCTATTTTTCTATCTGTTTATTTTTGTTTTGGGGCATGTGGGCAGCGCTTGGGACTTACTCCTGGCGGTGTTCTCAGGGATCACTCCTGGTGCAAGTTGGGGGACTCTCTGGGGTGTCATGTTTGGAAGCCAGGTGGGCTGAGTGCAAGCCCAGAGTCGAACATACCTACTATATTATCACTCTGGCCCCCAAAGCCTCTATTCTATATTTTATCTTCTGTTCTGATATTTATACATGTAATTGTTTTATTTTATGTCCCTCATTTCTTTAAATGGATTCAATTTTTTAACTGTCCTTGTTTGTCTTTTGTCTGATAGGTGACTTTTATTTTCTCTTGTGTGATGGCCTGTATTGTCCTTGTCACATGTCTGATTGTTTTGTTTTACTAAGGAATTTGGGTAGATAGGGGTTAGAAATATAGGAGAGTGGGTAGAGCTTGTGCCTTGCATGGGCTGACCCAAGTTCGATCTCCGATGTAACATATGGATCCCCAAGCACCACTAGGACAGATTGCTGAACACAGAGCTGGGGTAACCCCGAGCATCACTACGTGTAGCCCCAAAACCTTTAAAAATTTTTGAAAGATATTTGATTTACATAGAGAATTTAAGGTTTTGGTTTTTTAAAAAAATTATTTTAAAGATTTTCCTTACCTGTTCCTTGTTTCCTATACTTTTCAAAGTATCTGCTATTATTGTATGTTTCACTATACAGAACAATTCTTTCTGCAACTTTTATGAGTGTTCTTTTTTTTCTTTATTTTCTTTTGTTTTTAGAGGGCGGGGGTTGGGAGGGACAGGATCCTCAAGTGGCAGTTCTTAGTGCATTCTCCTGCCTCTGAACTCAGGGGTCACTTCTGGCAGTGTTCAAGGGACCTTATTGCATGCTGGTCACATGCAAAAGAAGTACCCTGCCACTATCCTATCTTTTCTCCTCATGAATATCCCATTTCAAGAAATTTTATTTTGACAACTTTGGTGTCTCTTCCTCCTCCTCTACCATATTTGTCTTGTACTTCAAAATTTGAGCCAGAGATTGGGCTAGAAAGATAGTTCAGCTGGTCTTTGGACTTGCCTTATATGCAGACAACTTGGATTCTATCCCTGGCCCCCCATATGGTTTCCTGAGCTGCCAAAAGTCATACCTGAGTGCAGAGAGAGGAGTATGCCCTGATCAGAGCCACGTGTGGCCAAAATAAAAAGAAGAAAAAGGGTTTAGTTTGGGCACAAGTGATAGTATAGAGGGTAGTGTGCTTGCTTTACACACAGCCGACTTGAGTTTCATTCGCAGAATTATATCTGATCCCTTGAGCTTGCCCAGAAAGATCCAGGAAGAAAGAGCAGGGGTCAGCGCTGAGCACTGCCAGGCAGAGTGGTCCACACAAAAAATCCCCCCAAAAAGAAAAGACTTGTTAAAGATCTTATATATGTGCTGCTAGTTTTCATGAAGCATGAAATAGTTTGGTCATAGTTTGTTCAGTATTTTTTTCAAAAACTAACCGCTTATCCCACTCCTTACTTTTCTCATTCTGTGTCCTTAATTTAGGTGAAGGAAATGTCCTGTAAATAAACATGTTTGGATGTTTGGGTCTTTGTGTGTGTGTGTGTGTGCGTGCGTGTGTGTGTGTGAATAATCTTGCAGTGTTTCATTTAAAAAGTTCATTACTGAATATATTTACTAATATTTTAGAAGATTCCAAGAGGTCCTGGGGGTCAAGGGCAACTCCACAATTCTAGGCCAACTGAACTGCTGGCTCAGTGCAGGGCCTGAGGAATACTGTTGCTCTGACTGGCAGTTCCAAGGTTTCCCGGGCCACTTTGGAGGTGTTGGAGGCCTCCTCGTCACATGGGCAGCTGCTTAGGGGCCTCCAGGGCAACTCAGGCAATGCATGTAATGCTGGGAAACCAAGCCAGGCTCCAGTCATGTCTAGAATTTTCCCTAACCACTGTGCTCAAGTTGACCCATTTTTTCCCCCGGCATCTGAGATATTACCAGTCTACCAGGGCTATTTCAGTTAGGGCACTCCAGCTATTAGTAGAAGTTCTGCTTTTCATGTTCAATTATTCTGCTAGCCTCATGCACAATTAGAATAGAGTTTTGTAGTTATTCTACCTGTGTTGTGTCTGTCCCACACTCATCCCTGATGACTAATGTGTGGAACCTGAATGCAGGGCTGGAACCCTTGAATCTACAAACTGGGTCTGGGCCAGAGCAGCTCATTGCTGGCTCTACAGGGCTCCTGGTCTGAGGAGAGTGTGAATGAGATGGGGCGAGGTTTATGTCTCACTTCCCCATTTGTCTGTGTCACTGTGAGCACCAGTACTACTATCCCACAACTGACAGTAATAGTCGGCCTCATCCTCAGTGCGCACACCCGTAATGGACAGGGTGGCCGTGCCCCCAGAGTTGGAGCCAGAGAAGCGGTCAGGGATCCCTGAGGGTCGTTCGCTATTCTCGTAGATGACCATCACAGGGGCCTGGCCTGGCTTCTGCTGGTACCAGTGAACATAGTAGCTTTCAACATTGTTTCCCGTACAGGTCATCTTGGCCTCTCCTCCCGGATTCACAGATAATGAAGGTGGCTGATTCAGTTCAGAGGAAGATACAGAACCTGCAAGAGAAAAGGAGAGGACGGGTAATAAGGAAAGTCCATTCTGCCGAAACCCCCATCTTCGTAACTCATAGTAATCCTGTGGGACCCCAATACCTCCACCCTCACCCTCCATCAGGGTGATGGGCATCCTACATCAGTGCCCTGCTGAGCTCAGACTCAGGACCAGGATAACCCCAGAGCATGGCCCTGGGGTTGGTGTGAGCCTGGACACATCACCTGTGCAGTGAGCCAGGAGGCCCAGGAGAAGCAAGGTCCAGACCATGGTCAAGGGCTGGGATCCTGGCACCTGAGGCTGAACTTCGCCTGGTCCCCTCTTATCCCCTCAGGAGAGAGTTGCTGGCTATGCAAATCAGCCAGGCTCAGGGCTGCTGCTTGGATTCTGTGGCTTCAGAAAAGGGCCCATACCCAAGGGACACAACACTGGAAGGGGTTGGGCTGGTCTAGCAGTCCCCACCTGCTGTTTAGAGGCTCCTCCATGGCACAGTGAGATTCTGAGTAGTCTCCATGTATACTGTGTACTCAGGTGTGTGATTTGGAACACTGATAGATTATATTTTCTTTCTTAAAAATTTTTATTAGTGAAACACCATGAGGTACAGTTGTAGAATTACAAATTTTTGTGCTTGGATCTCAATCATACAATGATCAAGTACCCATCCCTCCAACAGTGCCCACCCTCCACCACCATGGATCACAGTATCCTTCCCACTCCCCATCCTCCCCGTCCCACCCTGCCTCTGTGGCAGGGCATTCCCTTTTGTTCTCTCTCTCTTTTTGGGTGCTGTGGTTTGCAAAAGAGGCGTTGACTGGCAATCATGTTCAGTCTATAGTCTACTCTCAGCATGCTTCTCCCATCCTGGGAGGATCCTCCCAACACCCTTTATTTGGTGCTCCCTTCTCTATCTGAGCTGCCTTTTTCCCTAGCATGTGTGGCTGGCCTCCAAGCCATGGAGCAAACCTCCTGGTACTTATCTCGGCTATTCTTGGGTGTTAGTCTACTATTTTGTTACTCTATGTTCCCCAGATGAATGCAAGATAGATTATATTTTCAGAAGAAATAACTGATATAGAGCAATGAAATTTGTCTTAAATGATAAGAATTTCAGATTAAAACATTTTCTATAATTGATTCCTTTCACTTCTGAGCAAATGCATTGAATAATAAAAACCATCTGCCATTACTCGATTCAGTTAAAGGAGAGAGAATATTTGGTGTTAACAAATAACAGGAGTACAATGTTACAGCAGCTAGATGAGGAATATTTTTTTCCTAAACCATAATATTTTAGACGCTAGGATCCTCGCCTGAGACTAATTCTACTTAAATTCCAGGCCCCATGTGTTCTGAGACTGAGCATCACTTTTTACAAAGCAGGATATTCCCCCCCCGCGTGGCCCCGTTGCTAAGTAATCTCTGTACCATAAAGTCAGAGGAGCAGAGTCTTCCCACAGAGGAGTTAGAGAACTGTGGGCACTGACCACATTTCACAGAAGTGTACTATTTGGGCCCTGAAGAATATGAAACTCTTTTCAGAGTAATATGCAATTTCTACACGATTCAGATCAGAGTGAAAGGAAGAATTTTCTCACCAGTGTGAAGGATGATATGACATAAAAATAAGCATCTTTTTCTTTAGGCATGATGTTGGTTACTAAACACCATTCCCACTTACTGCAAATTAGACCCCCTGTGATCCTGACTCACCCCAGTACTTTACACCATGAGTCTCTGCTGCCTCCTTGTGGTCGGGAGGTGCTGGGAAGTCCTAGGTCAGAAGACATTCAGATCACAGGGCTGAGCCAAGGGGCAGAGTCAAGAGGAGAAAGAATGAACATTTTCTCAATGGATCCTGTGTTTTAAGACTGAGCTTTATAAATGCAATTCCCAGGGAAACATCAAAATATGATCATGTTCATTTGGTGTGTACAACAACGGGTTGATGAGGCAACTCGTTGATCTCTGAAATGCTGGGCATCACACAAGTTTCTCTGCCGAAGTGCTGATTCAAGGACTCAGGAACAGCCTCTGCGGGTGCTCAGTGTCAGTCTAACATCACAGTGGGTCTAAGGTTGGAAATTAGATTAGTTCACTAATTATTAACCTAGTCTTTTATCGCCATCTGAAACCATCTACTTTAGTGGCATAGAGATTGAGTTCTGAAAAACAAACAAACAAACAAACAAACAAAAAGCAAAGAAGAACAAAATAAACGTTTGAGCTAGAGATAGACCATTTTTAATGCAGTTCAATTTCTTGTCCCTTTTGCTTTGTGTGACTTCATGGAAGTCTGCCTGTCTATTCTTCCACAGAGGTCCCATTAACCCAAGAAACACCTAACCCAGAAAGTACCCTGATACTCCCAACTCATCCTATAATTCCTTAATCAATCCACAACTTTCCCTGTGCAGAACCTGCCTTCAAGGATGGTTGGAGCAACCAGCTGGACCTCAACGTGGGCTCTGGGACAGACTGTTCACTATTGTGTCTGCAACCAGCCAGGGCTGCTGGAGAGTGTAACACAGATGTAAGTGTAACACAGATGTAAGAGGTTTCTTACTTCCCTGCCTCCTGTGACACTATGGGGTAATTACCTCTGCTGTCCCATGACTGATAGGAATAGCCTCATCATCAGCCTGGGCCCTGTTGATGCTCAGGGTGGCTATAGTCCCAGAGCTAGAGACAGAAAATCGGTCAGGGCCTCTCACAATCTTTATAAATAAGCTGCCCAGGGGCCTCTCACTATCCTTATGAATAAGTAGCACAGGAGTCTGGCCGGGCTTCCCCTGGTACCAAGATGTATATCTCTTGTTAAGTAATTCTCCAGAGCAGGAGATTGTGGCTGACTAACCCTGACCTACTGAGGTGGAAAGTGTCTGGGTCAGTTTGTAGGAGGTCATGTAGCCGGGGAAGAAAAGAGAAGAGGGTTGAGAGTCCATCAAAGGCTCATCCAACAGTGCACAGCTCTTGGCATGTGTGGGCTGGATCAGGGCCAGGAGTTTGATGTGCTCAGGGCCTTTGAGGCCTGAAGCTGCAGCTGAGCCCTGGGGGCTTCACTGTGCGGAATGTGAGCAGGAGAGCGGGTCGGGGTTTTGGGACATGGTGGAGCCTCTCAGCGCTCTGCCCTGACACTCTCAGCAGTATTGGGCTCTCCCTCGCTCTTTATTCCCTTCTCAGGCCTCTGGGTTGTTTTCCATGAAAATGTATTGTAGGAGATTTAGAAAACATTTTTATTTCATTTTACAGGTGGAGATTTTGTCTCTAAGGATGGGTCCCATCCCATGTAGAAGGCGTCATCACAGGCAACTTTCGGACAGTTTAGTAGTTTTCTTCAGTGCTATGTTGAGATGTGGAGTCCCCTAGAACCATTCAGGACTGAGACCGACTTTCCCAGCAGTTTCTGTGGGCTCAGTGAGGAGTCCCAGCAGAGACCGTGAGCTCTGGGGGCAAAATGGCTATTGGTCCCTCTAGGAAGTGAATCTTGTCACCAGTTAGGACACTCCAGTGACTAGAGCTGTGTACTGCGAGTGAGAATCCACTTCTGCCTGGAGGTTCTGAAGGGGCTGTGCAGGCTCAGGGCCAGGAGACAGAAGCCTAGAGAGCCTAGACGTGAACCCTAGCAAAGGAACTTGAGCCTGGAGGAGCTCAAGGGGAAGAAGAGCAAAGGGAATCAGTCAGGGTGTCTGGGGATGTGTCTAGGACAAAGGGGTTGAAGCAAGTCATTATGAATTTCTGGGTGAGGCAGTCACTGTCCCCGGCACTCATCAGAGTCCAGGGGACACTGAAATTCTGGGCCTTCAGTGTAGTCAATGGGAGTCAATGTAGTCAGTGTAGCCAATGGAATCAATAAATGATTGAATTCCATCATGGAGTCGTGACCTCAGAAACTGACCTTCTGCACCCCGGCCCATGCGTCATGTCTTCCTCCTTCCCCTCATTTCAGGCCTGTGCTCCTGGCACCTCAGTCTCAGTTTCAGACCGAACTCATCCTGGTCCCCACTTATCCACTGAAGGAGAGAGTTGCTGTCTATGCAAATCGTCCAGGCTCAGGGCTGCTGCTTGGAGTCTGTGTCTGCAGAAAAAGGTCCAGGCCCAAGGAACATGAGAAGGGGATAGGATGGCCCTTGTAGAGCCCACCTGCTGCTCAGTGGCTCCCCAGACAACAAGAGGTGCTGAATAGGTTGTGAGTTTGTTGTGTGCTTAGTGTGCAGTTCTGAGTATTGACAGATAATGTTTTCAGAAGAAATATCTTATGTATATGGCAATGAAAATTGACTTAAATTCCAAGAATTTGATTACAATATATTTGTAACTGGTTTTCTTCAATTCTGGGCAAATGCAGTAAATAAAAAATTTATTTAAAAAAATCATCTTCTATTGATTAAAGGAGAGAGTATATTTTTTGGTGTTATCAAATATAGAAAGGGAATAAAACATTAAACTGGCTCATGGGAATTTTTCCTTTTCTAAACTCTAAGAGGTCAAATTCCAGGGCCTTGCATGAGACCAATTCTACTGTGATTTCCAGTCCCACTGAGATGACTGTAGCCCAAGATTCCTTCCAAGCACTTCCTGGTGGATTAATAATCCCTCCAGGTGGCACCAAGTTCAGCAGGGCACTGGTTACCCATCGATCATTACCCTATGGAGGATGTGGTTGGTGTTAGTGGGGTCCCAAAGAATTGCTATGGGTGATGAAGATGGGGTCTTCTCAGACTGAGTTTCACTGTTACCTGACCTCTTCTTTTTTCTCTTGCAGGTTCAAGATCTTCCAAGGAACTAAACCCTCCATCCTCCTTTCCTGCGAGTCTGGGAGGGCAATGACCTGTAGGGGGAAGAACATTGGAGATCAATTTACTCAGTGATACCAGCAGAAGTCAGACTAGGACCCTGTGCTGTTCCTCTGTATAGAGATAGATAGCAGCTGATTTTTGGGATCCCTGACCACATCTCTGGCTCCAACTCTGAGCATATGGCCACCCAGACCATTAGGGGTGCACACACTGAGGATGAGGCTGACTATTACTGTCAGGTGTGGCTTGAGGGCCAGAGTCAGAGTACAACAGGCAGCTTGCCTTTCACGCAGCTGATTTAGGTTCAAATCTTTACAGGTTCCTCGACACACTGTAAAGTTCCTGGATCCTGTTAAGACTCACCCCTGAATGCAGAGCCAGGAGCAAGCCCTATGCACTGCTAGGCCACAATTGGCAGTGCTCAGGGAAAACTCCAGGTCTGAGCTCAGAGATGACTCCTGGATGAACTGA